ATCTCTCGCTGTCGCGAAAGACCGCATCTACGCGCATGAATTATTCGCTCGCGGAGCTGGAGTTTGCGCGTGCACGAACAGTGACGTTGGAAACCGTGTCTTCCGAAATACATTTTCGTACCTTTGGTACAGTGAACTCCGGCCGGACGAGTTACTATTTTCGGCCGGTGGTGCGCCGTATCGTTTTCCGATAGAATCCAGGTGACCGGAACGACAAATGCATTACGGCGCGCGTCGTCGTGCATCCCCGTTACATACGGCTAATCCGCAATTGCGTCGTTACAAATGACACTTAGGCCGACAGGTATATGCAAATGTTCCGGAACGGTCAGATACGCGTCTCTCTCCCCCTTCCCCCCTCCTCCCCGCAGCCGTCCGCGTCGGACGCGGTGAATATATTCCAGTTGTACTTACAGGAAGCAGCGGGAGACCGGCAATGTATATGTGCGTGGCGTACGCGTCGTGTACGCGAGTAGGTTCGAATGGGGTTGCGACCATCCCGGCTGTGCCGGCAGAGGGGTTGTTGCGCTGGCCGGCGACTCTCAGGGCCGCATCCATTGCGGGATTTTGCACGATAAAGCGTCTCGCCGCGAACGGCCCCGTTGCGAATTGCCTCTCGTAGAGTAGAATAGAGCAGCGTCATGTGGAGCGACGCTTTATGCCGCAGACTGATACCCAGGGCTGGCCGCTTCGTGTGCACAGAAGTGCAAAGTGTGATGCGCCAAGTATTGGATCGAGATATAAATCACTCTAGATTTGCGCAAAATGAGGATACAGGAACGCACATAGTCAGCATATTACGAGTGCGTATACGGAAGGAAAGTACATTCTTGTTTCGGAGATATCTTTATTCTTGACATATAAATCTTGAATTGAGATTGATTGGCGTCAAACGAATAAATTACTTGCATCAATATATTTTATATATGACTCAACGAAGAAAAATGTACATTTATCTCTCAAAAATAATTTTCATGGATAAAAGCACAAAATATTGGATTGAGAATATGTCTTTAAATGTCAGAAAAAGATATCATTATCATCGGAATAATCATATCGTGCTTCTTTATATCGTGCTTCTTCATATCGTGCTTCTTCATATATATTATAATATCGAAATAAAATTATTGCATTGTTAAAATTTAAGGGAATGCAAGCTTTACCAACGAAATACTGACTTTTGTCTGTAAAGTTTATGTCGTATTAGTTGCATACAAGTACTTTTACACAATGAAAGTATGTGCAAAAATGAATTGGATCATTGTTGAATATGTTACGAAAACGATGAAAATTTTCAAAAGTTACATCTCAAGCTGTTAATTATGCGATATTTAAAATTCTACCTGAGCCAGCAAAGCATCGTTTCGAGTGCACTTTGAAATTCTTCTAACAGAATAATGTATCGTTGCTTACTTTTGAAGGAATAATTGTTAACTCAAGTATACCAGTTTCAAGTGGATACTAATTTCATTTCCGTATATTTTCGCCGTTAAAATTAATGGGCGAATATAAACAACGGAGACACGTCCGCATTCGCGATAGATGCTCGCGGGACAAGTTCTCAAACGCGCTATATTTGGCGCGAGACATTAATTACGCGAAGTACCCCCTTTGAAGCATCAAATTAATTTTATAAATCAATTTGGCAAACCACGTAATGCACGCACAGTCCATTGGGGTCATTGGGGTGCGCGCCTTTCCGCGTTCGGGGGTGAACCCGCGTCGAAGTTACCTCGCAAATCGCGCCGAGTTCTCAGTGAAGTTCAAATCGTTTATTTTTCACAGCAGAGAGAGAGAGAGAGAGAGAGAGAGAGAGAGAGAGGAAGAGAGAACGGGGGAGAAAACTCTATCCCCTAACAATGCAATATCAGCTACACCGGTGCGCCGTTTGCCGCACTGGACACCGTCGCGAAATCAATTTTACCCGTGCGCGAAAACAAACGAGTCGTACGCGCATTCTCCATCCGCATTGTCTCTGTGCGTGCTTCATTTCACGGCGAATTTATTTACAAAGATTATTTTTGTTATCGGACCGCCGTTTGCATTCCGGTTAAATGAAAATCGCGGAACGAAGCTCATGCGAAATATTCGATTCGCTCGCAGCAGTAAGCCGCGAGACTCGCGGCTTTTGTTCAGCGAGTTCTTTACCGGAAAACGACTCATATTTGGCAATTCATGCTTAATGTTCTCATATTTAACGGCGAATCCGAACGCCCTTTGCTGTGATACATGTATCTCCATGGCAGTAAGTGAATGCGACGCGAGATGATAGTGGCTGATATACATATTTGCAGACAAGCTTTCGCGAAATTACGACTCCACCCCGACATCGTCTTTGCCAAATTAATTAAATTAATGCCATAAGTAGAGCGTCAGTTCGCGTGCGTGATGTACCTGTGGGAATTTTGTTGGCAATATCCCGAACATCACGCTGCGCTCAGGGGCTGCCAAGTCGTAGCCAGATTCATGCTTGAGTGCCTCGAGCCTCAACGTGAAAACCTTGAACTATTAGGACCTTAACTTAGTTTCCGCCCAAAAAATACTGAGAAAAAGCATTTATTGTAAAAAATTTATTTAAATTATTTCAATGAAAGTATTTTCCATCACTTTCTACAACTTTTTGCCATCTTTCTGGCAACTGGGCGATACCATCTCGATAAAACGATGTTTGTTTCGAAGCAATCCATTCGTCCACCCATTCTCGCACTTCTTCAACATTTCGGAAGCGTGTACCACTCAA